TTCTCAATTGAGAGCCGTCCCTTTATTTCTTTTAGGATAAACTGGTTATCCTTGTTAAACACATACTTTGGGGAGTATGGTTTGAATTCCTTTTTCTTCTTGGCCGGCTGTTTAGAGGAATCAGCCGCCCAGACCCCTTTTCTTTTTTCATCTTTGTTGGACGACTGTTTCTGTCGTCCTTCTCTATTGTCGAACCTCTTCCCGTCCGACTGTTTCATTGTACACAGATCAGTCGCCTGTATATAGGCTTCTGCTTCAATCAAGGCCTCTTGAAGAGTCGCCACCCTTTTTCGAACTAAATCAAATTTGAAGGTAGACCCGTCTTTGAGACCTCTAAAAAAGTCAGTATAAGCTACCTCATCCGGTAACCCTTGAATCTGTATTCTCATCAGGTTGAACCGCCTGATGTAGGAACGAAGCCCCTCCTTTTCACCCTGCTGAATTGTTCCCAAATCAAGGGTCGTTTTCTTCGCAGGGATGTTCATTGCAAAGTTGGAGGCAAATAAGTAAGCAAGCGTCCTGAAACTGTTTACACAACCAGTCGGCAGGTTGCCGAACCATTGCTGTGCAATTCCCTTGAGAGTTGCTGGGAAACACTTGCACCAAGTGGGATCATCCAACCCTTGAAGGTACATCAGGTTGGTGAATGCCATCAGATGGTCTTCCGGGTTAGTAGTGCCATCATAGGCGCCTACTAAAACATTTTTTACTTTGGCCGGCTGAGCGGCTTCAGTAATTTCCTTGGAGAAGGCCGACGGCTGTTCACCAAGTCTAAGCAGCCGTAGCTGCCAGTCCATAGGTTGGACGTTTTTTGCTGCAGGTCCACCAAATGGAGGTGGCTGCATAAAATATTGTTGTTGCGGCACAAATGGCAAATTTGGTACCGCCTGCGCACTATGAAAGCCAGACTGACGGGAGGTGCCGCCTGACTGACTCTCATGGTACGACTGAGTTGGCCTCATCGAGGCATTTCGCAAACTGTCCTGAAAATTTGAAGTAGAAGCCGACTCTGATAATCGGTCACTCTTCTTCTGCTCTAGCAGGTGCCGAGCATCTGTGAACGTTTGCTTTGACCCGTCCGCCTGAATATGACGAACCGGTTTCCTATTTCCCGTAGGATAACGGAGTTTTGTGAAATCAAGAGCAGACGGCTCCCGCTTCTTAGATTTAGGATGGGGAGTCGCCTCTCGCCCTTGAACTGGCTTCCTCTTCAGTGAAGTGGAAGGTTTTTTGGCCGCCTGCTCTTTGACTGAAGCAGGCGGTTTTTTGTTGATCAACTCTTGGATCTCTCCCTTGAATCCCCTCATGAAGGTCATGAGTTCGTTCCTTGTGATGGGAGCAGACCCATCAGTCGGCTGTTGCCGAGCAAGCGGTGCGCCTGCTGGCTCGCTTCCTGTTTGAAGATACTCCCGTTCCCTTATTTCAGTATGACGGGTACGGCGGGCCCTTAGGGTCCCGTCTGGAGCTGTATGAGTTTCAACTTCAAATTCACTTTCGGTATCATGGTCCGACTGAACTTGAGGGTCGTCTAGGGGACGCCTCTCTTCTGGGGTCGGTACAGACTTGGATGCCATCTCTGAAGTACTCTCCCCACAGACGGCGCCAAATGTTTTGGGGTTTTCTGATGTCCTGCGGGAGAGCTACAATTCCGAGACTGGAACCGGACGCCTGTACCTGCAAAATAACGGAGACTCCTGAGAGCTCCGCCTCCAACGGTCAAGTTAGTACCTGATTAAGGAGTAATCAATACAGAAATTAAAGTAATAAGGTCTCTCTAGGTGAGAGTATTTAATATAGGTAATCTGCTTTGCTAGCGAGATCAGCCGGTTATTAGTGTGTTCCGTAATGTTTCTCCTCCGTTCCGTTAATTATTCCGTCCCTTGATTAATGAGGATTAATCGAGTATTTATAGCCTTGGGAAGCGTGCAACTCTCTAGGTTTAAGGTAAACCTAGGGCCGATCGGGCTTCTAGACTGAAATGGGCCTTGATGGCCGGTTGTCCCATTTGGCATGGGTGGACACGTGGCGTGTCTTAAGTGGTCCGTGGAGGACGCGTGGCGGAACCTGGTTGGTCCACTTGTCAAACGGCGCTTGGTGGATAAAAATCCCCTAATCAGGTTTTTTTGGTTCCCTCTAGGGTTTTCCTTTGGAAGGGTTTATCTAGCCTCCATTGCTAGATTTTTTTTCTTTACTCTTCTCCTTTCTCCTCTTCTCATCCATCTATTTTCTTCTGATCTCAATTGTAAATTTTTGTAGGGGCTTTCACTAGTGGTTTTACTGGTGATAAGGCCCAAAAAACTTTTTAATTGATTTCAATAAAAGGATCCCATATTTATGATGGGGTTTATTGAATTAGGCTTATTCTTTTTTTGTTTGTTCGTGTGCTAAAGATCGAAGATTTAGGGTTTCATCGTCTCCGAAAATATATAGAAGGCCATATGAGTTTCTTCACTCAAACAACTACTCATCCGTGGATCTCAAGCCGAATTAGAGCTAACTCACAGATTGTATTGCTGCAGATGAAGTTTTTTATTAAGGCGATCGTCGATCGAATGTGCGATGTAACTATTTCTAAGGTGATTTGTACTTATATTGAAATTTTAGACTTTTTAGGAGTTGTTTGTAAATATCGTTTGACTCTCTTTCATTAATAAAATCTTTTTTCTTCCCGTAAAAAAAAAAATAAAAAATAAAAAATCGTGCATGTGGAGAGTTCGAGACTTAAGCTAGTGCAGTCCTATTTACATCGTAACATTTTAACCTATGCCGTGCATTAACGCGTGTATCTTTCGGAAATTTAAGCAAAAAGGGATCATCAAATCACCAAACAAAGACAAAAAGGGAAAAGTGAGGAGTGAGTAAGGAGTTGAATTAGCAAGGAAGAGAGAGAGAAATAAAGATGAGCAATCATGGCGATGGAGCTGGTGGTATGACGTTATCAGTATATGTAGAAAATCTAGTGATAATAGTAAGCTTAGTTATATTTGCTGGTCTGATGGCTGGTCTGACCCTCGGTCTCATGTCTCTCGCTCTTGTTGACCTTGAAGTCCTCATCAAGGCTGGCCGTCCTCAGGATCGTATCCACGCTGGTCCCCACTTTCTCTCTCTCTTTCTTTAATTCATCATATTTCATTATTATTGTTGTTCTTGTTGATTTTGCAGTTGTTTATTTTATGCTAAATTCAACCTTGTTTTTGGGTTATTCTTGTTGGGTTTATTTGGATTGGATTTAGCAATACGTACCCTCTTCATCGAGTTTTATTTGTTGCTTTACTAGTTCAAATTATATTACAGTTTTTCGAGGAATTAATCATTTTCCGGATGACCAGTACTTTCATTTATTTATTTAAACAAATGATCAAACAGTTTTTCAATTTTTTAGTTTTTTTTTTTGGTGGGTTTATTTGAATTGGGTTTATGTTGTGTTATGTTCCTAGAGGAATAAATTATCCTTTTAGGGACAATAATTTATTTGTTTATTAGTTGAATGATCAAACATCTTTGACTGCTGATGCTGAATATTGAATTGGTACCAAGTTTTGTGTAGTTTGCTACTGTATGTATGTGGATTATGGAGTAAACCATTTAATCAAGAAAGATAGGATTTTTTCAGAGGTTTTTTTTTGGGTTTATATGATTTGACAGGATAGTTTTCCTTTACTCTGATTGAAAAGGTTCAATTTGGTACCATGCTCTAGTTTTGGCAAATAGATGGTCATTTTTATTAGATAATTAATCATTGGAACGTTTCGAAATTGGACCGTCCCCTTATTCTTACAAAGCGAGTCTTAACCAGAACAATATATTTGAGATGATTGTTATAATAAGAAAGGAGGGCTTATTTGGTTGAGTGATGGATGGTTGTGTTTTTTTGCTATCATCCCACTGACTTGTTATCACCCATCTTTCTTTGGCAGCAAAAATATTTCCAGTGGTAAAGAATCAGCATCTCCTGCTCTGTACTCTTCTTATTGGGAACTCTTTGGCAATGGAGGTATGGGACGATAATTTGAACCAGTGTTGATTCTAGCCTCTAGCTATCTAGCTTTGATTATATCGACTTGTGTTTTCCTTATTTTTGCAGGCTCTTCCCATATTTTTGGATAAACTTGTCCCCCCATGGGCTGCAATTGTGATATCAGTAACTCTGATTCTTATGTTTGGTGAGGTGAGAGATTTTTCTCACTTTTTATACTTCGTATAAAAAGACCTTTAGTTTGCATACAATGCTTTATTGTTTTTATTTGTCTCTTTCCTTGTAGATATTGCCACAGGCAGTTTGCACACGCTATGGGCTAGTGGTTGGAGCTACATTGGCACCCTTTGTTCGTGTATTACTTTGGTTATTTTTCCCCATTTCTTATCCAATTAGTAAGGTAAGATTCTGTTTGGAAAAACTAATGCATATGACGAGGGCAAGTATGATTTGTAGGTTTTTAATTTAAGTACATTCGCAATACAGCTTTAAATTGTCTATAACAATGCTTTCTAGTGAATGATTGTTGCACCTTTAGATTACTTTAACTAGATCATTGGATCACAAGAAGGGTAAACAAGAGCGAAATACTTGACAAGCATGTGTTAGGCTCTTTTGTACTTAGCTTATCTAAATAATTATAACAAAATCAAGTGTAGCAAAAATAAGTTTAGCTAAAAACAAGGAAATAATTTTTTTTTTCTTTAATTTTTTGCTACTTTTTAACCATTTTTTCAGCAAAAGCAGAAAAGAATGTAGCCTTAGTCAGTGGCGGATCTTGGTAAAAAATATTAAAGGGACCGGTAGGGGTGAAAGTTCGGTATTCGGTTTGGATTATACCCCAAACCGAATCCAAACCGAATTATTTCGGTTTTGGATTTTTGAAACTGAATCCAAACCGAATTTGGATTCAATTCAATCCAAACCGAAATAATTCGGTTTTGGATATTGAATCCAAACCGAACCGAATTTCTTTAGGCTGTTTTTTTGGGCCTTGAATTCTAGGCTGTTATTGGACAAATAGTTTTGGGCCTTTTAAAGACCTAATTTTTGTACCTGTTCCTGAACAAAACATAAATTTTTAGACAAAGCTTCCACCACCACAATTAATGTCACGAATTACAACACTTAAGTTTGTCCAGCCAAAATAAAAATTACAGACAGTCAAACACAACAGTAATCTTAAACATAAAATGACAGTATGGCAGATTGGCAGCAGCTTGATTCAAATCTGGCATTAGCTTCTTCTTCTTGGCAGCGTACTCTTCATGCATTCAATCAAGCTCAACCAAGTTTGGGTTGATTGGATCAGTAATTTTCATATTCTTCAAGTCTAACATTCAAAAAATAAACAAGTTACATAATATATATGATATAATGAAAAAAAAAACATATGATAATTAATCATTATACTACAAAAATAAGGCTCATAAAATAATGAATCTATAAAAAATAACATAAGTACTCACCAATTTGAACATAACAGAACAAAACATCACTATAAAGATTGAACAAAACATCACCAATTTGAATGGAATCAATTCGAACATAATAACCCAGAGATAAATCAAAATTCCCAATTTGAACATAATAAATTAATAACTCAATTTCACAATTCGAACATAATAAATTAATTTCCCAGAAATAACTCAAAATTCCTAATTCGAACATAATTCAAATTCCCAATTCAAAAAAACAAATGAAAGAGGAAAAGAGGAGTAAATAAAAAAATCCTTACCTTTGAGTGACTGAGAGAGGTGGTGGCGACAGAAGGTGGTGGCGCGTCGCGGATTGAGGGAGTACGAAGTCTACGAACACCAGATATGAAGAAAGGAACTGATATTCGACCAAGGAGACAATATACGGTGGCCGGAGTGAGATACGGTGGTGAGATACAGTGGTCGGAGTGAAGGAAATGAAGGGTTTTGGTGAGGAAGTAGAGGAATTGAGGAGTGAAGGTGGCCGAAAGTCAGAAAAATGAAGGAGAAAATTAGGGTTTGCTATATATATGTAGGGGAATTGGGCTGGAATCTATATGGGCTTTAAACATTTCGGTTTGGATTTCGGTTTTCGGTTTTTTAGGACCCAGAACCGAATCCAAACCGAAATAATTCGGTTTCAGGATTTTGGAACCGAATCCAAACCGAAAACTGAAAAAACCGAACCGAATTTCTAGTTCGGTTTGGTTTGGATCGGTTTTCGGTTTTTATCCAAACTACTTTCACCCCTAGGGACCGGGAATGAATATTTTACCAGTTGCTCAAAACTAATCACTATATTCCAAATTTTTATAAATAAAAGAACATCATTAAGTTCAATAGCTAATTAATTGCAATAATGTACCAGAGGCCGGGCCCCAAATGACTTCGGTGGAAGGTCCCCCTTTGGCCTTAGTATGCATAAGGTAGATCAGGTGGATTCTAACACTTAAGAAAAGGGATCATCTTGTAATTTGAGATCTAATCAATTGGTCAAGGGAAAAAGGGTTGGGAGGTTTGAGTTTATTCGTAGGGAATGTGGTGTCCAAGAATGTCCATGCACTTGTTGAAATTTGCTGCCTACTGTCCTGGAAAAATTTATCTGTAACTGATCTTTACAGGTCTACATTTGTTTTGGATTCTTCATTTTCTATGAAAATTTATACGTAAGGAAATTGGGTGATGTGTCTTGCCTATAAAGATTCGAAGATTTTATGTTTTCTTTGGTCATCTTGATCAAAGAATTTGGCTTGCTCAATCATCAGGTCACATTTTGTATTTTTGCTTTCAAGTCCTTATGAAAAAACGTAAAATCACTGAATGTTTGGGAGCTAAAGGTTCCAATAAAATTCAAGGCTTTCATTCTCAAAACAAGATGTAGGCGTAATTATTTGCTTCTGCAGTAGTCTACAAGAGCCTTATCTCATAGTTTATGTAACACTTTTTTGGTTGTTGATTTAGAAATAAAGATATACTCCCTCCGTCCCCTTTTGATAGTCCCTTATGGGCATTTTTCACGAGAATTAATAAACACAAACAAGAATAGTTAAAATACATTGAAAAAGTAAATTGACATTGGGTATGCAAAAAAGTAGAGAGAAAAAGTAATAAAAGTACATGGGAAAGCAAAATTTACATGGAAAATTTAAATTTGCACAACTATTGTTTTTAATTGGATGGAATTTTGGTAAAAAATTAATATTAATGGTTGTTGGAAAAAGCAAATGGGGTGAACATTTTGGGACTAAAATTTGTTCATAAGGGATTATCAAAAGGGGACGGAGGGAGTAAATTAGAAAGATACAAAGGGGGTTCCACCCATGTACAAAAAGAGACCTAAGGAAAGAAAAAATTAAATCATTCTCTTAAGCCCTTCTGAAGCTGTGTTTGTGATCACATTTATGTATATGCAGAATCTGATGCTTATCTCTTCATTTGCTGCAAGATAGCTGGTACTTTTTGGAAGTGATAAGCATCAGATGAAGCATTAAAAGGAGAATTCTGGTTCTGCTCTGCCTTTATGATCGGCCACAAGCGAGATGGGTTGGTTTCTTTCATGATATGTTTTTTTCTGACAGTAATTTGGGTGCTTTTGGCTGAAGTGATGATTTTATCTTTCATGATTAAGTATTTAAATTAATTTGGTGAAGGTGTTACGGACTATTGGGATCATTTGGTGTTTTAGCCTCTGTGTCATGTGGCATTGTGTGCTTCTACTACAAATTTACTTTCAGATTTCTTTTGTTCTTTTTCTATATACGATAGCTTTCCCTCTGTTTCAGCTTCTTTAATTTTTTATTCTTTAATTTTTTTTATGAAAAAAATTTCTTATCCAAGTGTAAACATCTTTCGTGAACACAAGCCTTTTATTAGACTACTAATAACTGCTCTAGATAAGCTATGAAAGTGGCATTGGCTTGCCGAATTTAGATCATAATGTCTTTCCCTACTTAATAAAATTACTTTTCATTCTTAGCTAGAGTTCCATATTTGAGGATGAACCGTAAGTTGTAAATCTTGTCTGAATCAGCAGGTACTCTTTTCTTATATTAATATTAGCTTCCTTGTTGAAATTAGGTTCTAGACTGGATGTTGGGCAAGGGACAGACTGCACTCTTACGAAGAGCTGAGCTTAAAACTTTTGTTAATTTTCATGGGAATGAGGTATACTTGTTGGAACTCCCTTGCAAAAGAGTCATCTCTGATTTACCTCTTCTTGCCAATTTTGGTGGAACTTGATGACATTTTGCTAACAGTTGGCCTTACATTGCTCTAAATGTTTGTTAAATAGGCTGGGAAAGGTGGGGATTTAACACATGATGAGACTACTATCATAACAGGTGCCCTTGAAATGACTGAGAAGACTGCAAAGGATGCCATGACCTTGATATCGAAGGCATTTTCCCTTGATCTGGATGCAACTCTTAATTTGTGGGTCTATTGCTGATTTTGAGTCTTACATAGTGTCTCACACAGTCTTCATATCTCTAATATCATTTTTCCTCTGCAGGGAAACACTTAATGCTATTATGGCAATGGGACACAGTAGAGTTCCTGTTTATTATCAAAACCCATTGAACATAATTGGATTAGTCCTGGTATTTCCTTTTCTATATCATGTTATGCTTCACCTAGAGTTGCAACTTACATAAATATCAACTTCCATTTTTTCTAGATTGCTTATTTGCTGACAAGTTCTCATTACTATTTGTACTTTGGTTGCTTGCATAGTATCTGTCACATATCACCTGCATTAGATGTTTCAAAATTGAAAGATAGCTTTTGATTCTCTTGTATTGAGAAGACTACTCTGCATACTCTCATATGTTATAAAAAGTAAATATTAGATTGTTATCCTAGGTCCTATGGGAGTATGGGTATTGTTCTTTGTGGGTGTTAGTTTGTAAATTTTAGGTATCATATATGGGTTTGGAATCAACTAAATTCAAGCATATTGTTCAGTTCACAACTATTCAAAAAACTGAAACCAGTAGAGCTCACACTCTACACCCACTAGGTGCAGGGTTTCCATTCTTAAAGGGGGGGTGGGGTTCAGCCAAACCCCCACCTCTGATTCTGAATTAATTTTTTTTTTATTTTAACCTTATAATTAATGAAACTCAAATATACTGGATGTTCAAACCCCATCAAGCAAATTCCATAGCCTGCTCTCTTCCATTGCTACATCGTTGTCACTCGTCAGACTTTCTTCTTGCACAATCACATGCTGATGCCACCACCACAGAAACCAAACACAGCTGCCACTATCTTCTGCATGCCTACTAATGGTGATAATATAGGAGTATCTAGCAGGCCTTCTTTCCTTGGTTATGTTCGAACAATTAGGATAAATTGTGGACTGGTGTTGGAGCTTGCTTGTGGCTGTCTTGGTTGGTTGATATGGTGGCCTTAGCTTGACGTGAGAAGAAAAAGGATAAGAAGAAAGAAGGGTTGCCGGAGTCCAGACTACATAACTTTTTTAATCTGTTTTTTTATTTGTTTGCTTTTATTTATTTATTTTTAATTTATATCTGTGATGGGCTCTAGGAAAAATAGAGATTTTATATACATTTTTCAAAGTCTTTTATCCTATTGCAAAATGGTGGATTTGAACCTAACACTAGGTATTAAGTGTAGATTTTCTGGAATCAAATATCTCAAATTCAAGGGTTTGATATTGAAATCCACAATGACACATAGTGCTGAACCAAACAGGGCCTGATAGATGTAGATCAAGCTGGTACTGGCATATTTTTTGTTTCCTTATTACACATCCTCATTTTCTTTTTTCTTTTTTTTATTTTTTTTATTTTTATTATTATTTATTCTTAAAAGTTCCCTAAGACCTCTAACAGTCCTTACCCATTTGTAGGAGTGGGCCTAGGAATATCTAACTTTTGGAAAGTAGTATGATCTGCTACAATGCTGTGATAATTATGCGACTGCTCTTCAATCATTTAAGTCAATGTGTTTAAGGAATTTTTTTCTAGTACTTCCTACATTCTTAATTGTTTGCTCCATTTCCTTCTTTTTGTAGTCAAAGTTCATCAACTTTGATTGTAAATTCTTATTGATATATAAGAAAAAAAATATAGTTATGTGGGATCTTTTTAGATTTGTTTGAATATATATTTTCAAAATATTGGTTTTGTAAACTTTTACTAGCACACCATCTGAGGTTTTAATAGTCGAACATGTTCTTGGCCGTCAAATGGGCCTAACGTGACAAATTCAATTACTAACACATTATAATGGACCGAACACAGCATTCCTCTCAAACTTAATAATGAATGCGACAAATTCCCTGTCGGAGACATCTCCCAGGATATACATAGTCCTCCTTTTACCTTACTTATGTGGCACTCTTTGGCGGAATATCCATTAAAGTTGTATCTTTAAGATATATATGCATTCTTTTTCCTAAAGTTTGCTTTAGGCAATTTTGATATGCAATCTTAATGGACAAATAGGGCATTCCCTTTAATATGGCATACTATATGGTTTTAGTCCTATGATTCTAAGGATAAATTATCTGAAGTGATGGATGTTCAATGGGTCTTTTTACCTTCTACTTTGGAACATATCATGTTTTCTTGTTTTTGTTTTGAAAGTAACGGAGGAGTTTCCTTGTGGAATCAACCTGCCTAGCTGCACTTTGAGCTTAAACCAAAGTGCTAAGGTTGGCAGCAGCATATGTATTGGATAAAGTGATTTAGCTTGCTTTCTTTTGTTGCCACTCTATAGGGATTTTCCTTAGGCATTTCCTTACATGATGTAAAGTGTGGGAGCCTGATTTGTAAGCCTTTTTCTTCAATTTAATTGTTTGGCTATGACAATTTTTTTCCCTCTGATAGATTTTACTCCTTAGCTAAGAAGAAATTAATATAGTAATGCCTAATCTTAGACTCTTTCACTAAGAATGCATATGCTCTTATAGTTTTTCTGTTTCAAATGGTCTAAGAAAGGGAGGTTGGGAATAGTTATTGTGAGCTTCCTCGTCAGGAATGTTGATGGTATTCTTTCTTCATGTTGTCCTTTTGACTGATTTTGTACATCCCAAAGATAGGTATCATTGTTAACTGAACCATGGCTTCAAGCTCTTTTCCTATTGTATAGGATACAATGTCTGTGGGTTATTCTTAAATGCGAGAACATTTTTGGGACAGAAATTTTGTGAATTGTGAGATTGCCAATTTCCTTAGCTAAACTCAACCATTGAGCATTAATGGCTAATTATCATGTGTCCAATATGATGTTGGGGCGTTGGACTATGTATTCATCATTGAAGTAAGGAGCCTAGAGTGTTGTGGCGATCATGGTATTATAAACTGGCTGCACTGTATTAGTTTTTTAACTTACTATGACGGAGATGTTAGGTTGCAAGCTTGCAACAACCACAAACTATCCACATTGCCTGCAAAAGTAGTTCTGTTACCATTTCAAAATCGCAACTGCATCTGAGTGGAGTGATTGCACTTTGTGAGAGGGTTGTGGTAGTAAAGTCCTTGTTTTTCAAGCTGTATAATTGCCTTTAATCTGGGATCCTTTCTAGCAGAATTCTGTCTCATACTGGCATGATGTGATTGATACATGTTGCAGGTGTCCTCCCTGGGTTTTTTTTTCTCATATGGAAGTGCTTTTTGTATTCTTAGAACAATACATCTGTATGTATGCAATTTTCTCTGTGTTGCCTTTATATGTTTCATTTTTCTGTCATCTGTATAGGTTAAAAATCTTTTAGGTGTTGACCCTGATGAAGGAGTGCCTCTAAGAAAGATAACCATTAGAAAAATTCCCAGGTAATAGGACTTTCTTGATATATTTTTTTTCTTCTTTCTGTAAAGCTATGTGAATTCAAACATTTGACTGAGTCTCCTAAAAAGAAATGCTATCCAAAAGGTTAGATTATGTTAAACTTGATATTAGAGTACTCAGTTGGCAAATATTAGTTGTTTACTAGTCATTGTATTAGGTTGTTCGGAATAGCAAATAACTTTAGAAGGCCACCCTAATCAAATGTTTAGAATCCATTTTGAGAAGATGGACAAGGTTATCATCATGGTGGTAGTGTTTTTTTTTTGTTTTTTTTTTTTGGGTGAATTGCATATGCAGTATGAGAGTTTCAGCATCATTAGTTCTTACAAATTAATTGTGAGTTTTAATTTCCTTAACATATGTTGCATAATATCTAGCAAGGCTGCATGCTTGGGTGTTTCTGAATTGTTAGAAACACAATGAACTAATGAATAGAGCTTCTGAGAGGAGGTTTTTTTGCAATACAGTGCTACTTCACAAGTTTTATCTACGAATTCTTTTGCTTTTCATGCTTGGGCTAATTTTATTGAATAAAGCTTGGTAATTTAGTTTGAGCTGTATAATAAGCATATAGTTGACTTCTTAGTGCTTACTGCTTGAGCTGGAAGATATCCTTCAAACCAAGTAC